TCTCTGCACAGGCGCCCTCAATATTTCCAGGATCGTATAACAATCGAAATGTCCCTTATAGGGAGATCCTTCGAATGTCCCTTAGGGATATCCGTCGGAAGTCCCAATTGGTACATGAACTGTACTCTTCCAATGTCCTAGAAATAACGACCTACGGACGTCCCAGTAGGTACTTTCAATATGTTGTCCCTGCGAGGACGTTAACTTACACCTCGCCGAAAAATGATTGGTCGTAGGCTATGAATACTCCCCTTCAATGTCCTTCACGTAAGTCCATTGGATATCCTTGGGAAACTTTTTCAGGATCTATTGGTGACCTTCTACAGACCATCAATTCAACTGGATGTCCTCATCAGTTATGCAAGATCTGGCCCTAGAGGGACCCAGAAAAAATCAAATTCAAGAATAATTCATACGTCCCTGGGACATCCTATGGACATCCAATTGATATCCCCCAGCGTTGCTAATAGGTTGTCCTACGGATGTCCTAAGGATGTCCTCCGTAGTGCTTGATGAGGAATACTGTAGGATTTAGGTATTCGATAGTTGTCCCAGGGACACCCCTCAAGGACGTCCCTAGTCTCAGTGGGACATTTGTGCGTCCCACAGACCTCCAATGGACATCCACGGTACCAAATTCGAACGTCCTATGGACGTTCTGAATGTCCCAACAGGACGTCCTAAGGATATCCATAGGACATATTTGTGTTATTAGGGTACCTACTAGATTCGAGTGATATTCCTGCGAATATCCCCATCAGAACAGTGAATTCAGGTCAATTACAACAGAGGTGGCTATGTCTTTATAGACTAGTAGTTCATAAAATTACGAAAACTACCTTGGTAGTAAAAACACACTTTACGCCTCGTATAGGAGTGAATAATGGTAGGTTTAATAGCTAGTGGTGGAAAAAATTATATTTCTTGTTTTTTTTTAATCAAGATTTTCTACGAACCGGAGCTATTGAACGTTCCAAAATTTGCATTTAATTTGAATTCAATATTTTTCAAAGGCTGAAAATGAAAATTAATAAACCAATCCTGATAATTTCGAATAGGGTGATTTTTTGCACATGGAGGTTCGAAGGCGCACGAGGACCAATAATATGAAGTTAGTTTTTTGCAAAGAATTCCTAATATGATTTCATAAAATTCGACCCATCTTTATTTCAATAAGAAAGCATGGCACTGTCCAACAGGAGGTTCGTCTCGAAAAAACTGGTCATATTGATAGGGATTTTCATACCGGTTCAAATTTGTTAAAGATCGAACGTCTAATAGCTGATATGTAGAGGGGGGGCGTTTGAAATTAGACATGGTGTAGAATCCAGTGTTGTACGCGGAATTTTTTAGGAATAATCTCTAATATGGATTCTGGATTTTTCTGCCTTTGAATGTGATCCAGTAGGCCTTGGTTTTCCAGAAAAATAGACGCCGCTTAGCTCCAAAATACATCTTTCTCCCCTCTACAATTAAAAAAAATGCGAAAATCCCTCCATAAATAAAAAATGGGTCATACTGTACATATAAAGTAGTTGCAGAATGGAACATTTTTGCACGTGGAGTGCGAGTAGGTCGCAATTTTATTTTTTAATTTGAAACACCCTGTATTTCATTCTTTTAATCGGGAGAACTCTTTCTTCTGATTTCAAACATATACTTTATTGAGGTTATCTTAGTCAGTTTTCGAAAAATAATGATTTCTTCGTATAAATCGATATATTTCGAAAACGAAAATATTAAATGAAGTTTCGACATTTTCAATCTCGTCAAGTTTTTCCGCCTAACATTGACAGTGTTCAATATTTCGAACTGATTTCGTAGAAAGGAATGGAATACATCTTGGAGTCTACTTGTGTGAATTCATTTCGTTCCAATGTCCAAATAAGAATCACAATATTTTTTTATATGCCTCTACATACTCAGTTTTTCACGGAAATAGTTGACTAACTTGGAAACCGTGGAGTCAAATATAGAAAACAAAGAACAGTTGTCCAAATGCAATTGAAAATAGGGTGTCGCATTTAAAATACTCATCATCAGCCAATATCTTGGAATTCGTCACCCTATAGATATAACAATAATTTCAGGTGATATTATTCATGAAACCCTCTGTATTTGAATTTTGTCAATATATCTGACGGTTTGACTAATATCGAAAGAGAACACACTATTGACTCACCCTATATAACAAAAATTTCTGTTTTTCTATTGTAAATATATTTGATTTTTTCTTTACTATTTTTAACTATTTTTTCATATCAAATTTTACATGAAATTTTATCTTTCGGGAATTTATCGTTTAGAAAAGTGACGTAACTAATCAGTCATCAGAATAATGAATCATGAATGATTCAAGCCAGCCATTCACTAGTCGTATATTAGATTTCGTCGCGTATGGTCGATTCAATTGGTTTAACAATAGTTATTCATTATACAAGGGAAAAAAGTATTAGATTTTAGCTCGAGGTTGTGTTGTCCCCCGAAGCTTAGCGGAAAGGCAAAAATACGAATCAATATTGAGAAGATATTACATTATATCAGAATCAGAAAATCATCGACTTGAAATTTGAAGTTTTTAACTGGAATTACACCTACACGTTGCAATCATCTTTTTGTTGGCATCTTTGTCATTCTTTTGAAGTTATCAAATATCTGTCAGTCAAACTCTACGAAGTGGTTGTTTCGTGATTTATGTAACCGCGAGGTGGAATAGAAGATAAAAGGACTTGCAGTTCTTTCTCGGAGACGGTGTTTTAAGGACGTATTGTTGGGATCAAAATAAGACTTTTTCTTCATATAAACCAGAGACCGGTGATAAGTTATTCTTCATTCTCATTTACGAATTATATTCAATTTATTTCGAATATTTCTTCCAAATTAGATATTCGTTATGGAAGGCGATATATCGTAGAACATTTTTAGATAGTCATCTTTATGTCTCAATGGAGACACGACAGGTACCCTTACGAGGGGAGAGTATGAACCCTTGGCATCGGTAAACCCTCGTTGCCACCGGAATATATAGATGCCTGATGATGGGTTAGGTATGTATAGTGTTTCTCGTTCAGGAGAAAATTGTTGGCTATCTGTTTCGATCATTTTTTGAGTAATAGAAGAATATGTCGCGTTTCAAAAACGGAAATTGGAAAAGTTTCCACATATATGTCAGTTTCTTATTTCATGTAACTTTCATAATTTCAATTCTCAATATATTTGAATTCGAGATATAATACCAACATCACCAACTATGTTTTAGGTCGAAGCAGCCACGAGGTATTAATAGACGGAAAAATTGTACAGAAGAAGAAACCAGACCAGAAACCAGCGACCGGTGATAAGTTTTTCATTCTTATTTACGAATTATATTCAATTCGATTCGAATATTTCTTCCAAATTTTATATTTGTTATGGAAGGCGATATATCATGAAACATTTACAGGTAGTCATCTTTATGTCTCAATGGAGACATGACAGGTACCCTTACGAGGGGAGAGTATCAACTCTTGGCATCGGTAAACCCTCGTTGCAACCGGGGGGTAGGTGCCTGATGGGTTAGGTATATAAATAGTGTTTCTCGTTCAGGAGAAAATTGTTGGCTATCTGTTTCGGTCATTTTTTGAGTAATAGAAGAATATGTCGCGTTTCAGCAACTGAATTTGGGAAATGTTCTCACATATATTTCAGAGTTTATTCTTATTCCATGTAAATTTCATGATATATTAATTCTCATTTCTCAATATATTTTAAATTCGAGATATAATACCAACTATGTTTTAGATCGAAGAAGCCATAATCGACGTAAAAATTGTACAGAAGAGGAAACAAGACCAGAAACCAGCGACCGGTGATAAGTTTTTCATTCTTATTTACTATTCTAGTCATTTCGAATATTTCTTCCAAATTTTATATTTGTTATGGAAGGCGATATATCATAGAACATTTTTCGATAGTCACCTTTATGCCTCAATGGATATACGACAGGTACCCTTACGAGAGGAGAGTATCGACCGTTGTTGGCATCGGCAGAGATCAGTCAGTGGGTGACTGAACTCTGGCATTGGTAAACCCTCATGCAACCTGGGTATAGGCACCTGATGGGTTATGTATACAGTTTTCAATCCCCAAATCATTGAAAATAGGAGATTCAATAGCAACTATGTTTTAGATCAAAGAGTCTTGAGTTTCCCATTATTGTCAAGAATTATATTCAATTTATTTCGAATATTCATGGTGCTACCAATATACTAAGCAATTAGATCTCGCTGATTTCTGACAGAATTATAATCGATCATATTGTGAGCACTCATGTCAATATACCTCTGATATAGTTTTTGTCTATGCCGAGACCGAGCTTTAGTACTCGATTCCATTCTCTTTCTATCGACTTCCTGAAACGAAAATGGATGAAGGTGAATTATATCTGTCCTATACTTTTATCTCATAGGAGTGGAGTAAAATTACAGATCCACTTGAAACGCACTCATGAAATAACGAACAACCATGGAAATTAAAATGCATTAACATCGACTGTTGTCCACACATGGACCGATATGCTATTTCAGAAATTCTTTGCTTGTTGTTGTCGGACTACTATGGTCAGACCTGTCGCTCAACGCTCAACGTAGCCTCAGTGTATCGTACACGTATACATTGATGTGAGAAGACCTAGGCATTAGCAAGCATGTGAACGCGCCTTCATCGCAGCAAGCATGTAAGAGCAACTTTGGCGCCTTTTTTTGTTGCAAAATAAAGTCGTTCACTGACTCCAACCAAACAAGGTCCAAAGAGTCCAAATCCCAAGTCTAAAGTCTCATCCTGTTATCATAAGTGGAACATGTAGGAGAATTTTCTATACTTCTCATTCTGTGCTTTGTTGTTGTGGATATCGCACCTTCGCAACATCGCGCATATCACATATCGCATATTATCGTATATTATCACATCGGCGTCACTCAGACATCGAACAGCCGATAGTCATCGTTGTCGTAGTCGTTGTCCGTATGGTTGTCCTTTGTCTGAGCCGTTGTCGATACTCATTGTCGCATGAGTCGTTACGTTACGTCAGCCGCAACTGTCATTGTCGCGAAGTGTCGCAGTTGCAACTTTGCAAGTTGCATGTTGCGTGTTGGGTGTTGCGTGAGTGCATGTTGCATGATTGGTGAAAAGACAATGAAGTAGGCCTAAATTGTGTTGTGTAATTAATTAAATCAAAACTGAAATTTTGAAAATGATCTTGTGATGTGTTAAGGAAACTAGTGTTGTATGATGCACTCATTATTAATCACTGGACGATTGTTATCGAGAGCAATTTGGAATGGAATCGCAAATGTATCGACTGCAGCGGACCCAAATGTTCAAAGAAAAACTGAGCCACATCTAGTATCGGCTGTTTGTGGATTTTCAAAGGGGAGAAAAACTCAAAGACTGATTAAAGGCCAATTCGGCGACGATGCCTGGTTCACAGCTAAATACAAATCCGCGGATGTTTTGGGTAAGTCATGGGATCTGTAAAAATCATACCTAACCTAACTAACCTTTGATCATCTGACGTCTGTGGCCTTAGTAAAAAAATGTGTTAATAAACATATTTCAAAATGATAACTTCAACATATTTTATACCTACTTGAATAATTCATGATTATGGAAACACTGTTTTTATACTTCAGGACTTTCTACTATCTTGATTCATTTGGTCCCTATTTAACCGAGACCCCCCAAGACCTGAACATAAAGTACCTAATCAAATTGGGCATAATTTGATCAGGTAAAAATAATATATTATCTGTATTATTGATAATGATGTACCTAAGATTCTGTCATGAAACATTGTAAAAAGCTTCCCCAGAATTCATTCAATGTATTTTAATTTCTTGAGGTTTAGCCTAAGTGCCTACTATATTATTGACCTCCCAATCGACCAATACTTCAACTGAAAGATTAATGATTATTCCAAAAACATTGATATTATTTGGTAGGTCTACCTTCAGTTCTTCCCAACCAAGTACCCAACCACCCAACCTATACAGGGTGTATCTAAATAACACCGAAAAAATTCAAGTTGTGATTCCTTGTGATAGTTTAGGAAATAAAGTTCATATAAACAAGTGCCCTAACTTGCTTTGTTTTTGAGATCCCTGTATCTATATTAAGATTTCCATGAAAAATATTTTTTCTGTCAATTTCTCAATTGTCTTTTCATCAATTTCAATAAAACGTTGTGGTTTTGCTAATAGTATTATGGATCTTCTCCTAGTGCAATTAGATTCCAAATAATATTTCCAGTGGCGTCACAGTGGGTAAATCGAGGGGTAAATTTATTGATATTCATGGTGGTTGGTCATTGTACAACACTGTTTTTTTTTAGTATCATACTTTTATTAGATTGAACTATTGAAATAACAACTTTTTTATCCTCTATGTGATTTTTGTATCTAGCTTAGTTTTTGAGGAAACAATAAATTCAATTTGACTCCAAATTTCATTGTAGGTGTTTTCAAGCAGGGTTGGAATAAGTCATGAGAAAGAGTTTTATAAAAAAGTCAAAAAAGTCTGACTTTTTGAATTAATTCGGACTTTTTTGAATTAATTCATTTGAGAACAAATCAAATTCTATTCACTTGAACAAAATACAAGAACATCGCAAAAACTAAGTTTTATTTCCGTTGGAAATCTCAAAGCATGACAATAAATACTAAAATATGGCATTTTTGCAATATGAACTGAGACTATTGACTGAATGAAAAATGATGTTTATGCAACTTGGATTACTCATTCACAATCTCCATTATAGAGGCGCTTTACAGTTATTAAATTAAACAATTTTTCGATGCATTGCAAGAAATGAGTCGGGACATATTTATTTATATTGTGGTAATTTGTATTACTGGTGCAATTCTAGTGGTGACATGTTAGATTTTCGGAATTTCACGCATCATTAGATACACATTGGATCTTACTTTTCTTGCCTTTCTCATGGTTTCTTCAACCCAACTCAAAACTCAGTGAGAAGTAATACACAGAATCTATGACAAAAAGACATTGCAAGCCGGTAATTCCGATTCAGTGTTGAAAAGCCTACATATTATTTTTGCCGGAAATATGAATTGGAGCAATCAATTGCATGCAATGAAATATTGTAAACTGTAAAGCGGCTCTAAGAAAATTTAGTTTTCCGCGTGTGGGATTTGATGAATTTTGAATTAATTCACAACTTATTTCAAAAAAGTCATTTGAATTAATTCACGATTTAAATCACTGACTTAATTCATATGAGTTAATTCCTGCCAACCCTGTTTTCAAGACTTCCATTGAGATTACTCAATGAACTCAATTAGAATCATTTTGAAATTTTAGGGATTTTTCAGTCTCCATCCTTACTGAATTTTGGCACCATGAAAGCTTATTTATACAGGGGGGTTATGAATAAAAACAATCAATACTTCCAACTTCAAGATTCTGTTTCTCAAAAACAACACTTTATTTGATAGGTCACAAGGAAGCACCCCTTGAATTTTTGTTGTGGTTTTTAGATACACCCTGTATAATTGACATGATTGAGCACATTTTGTTCAGATTACCACCTAGGAAGTTTACTCACCTACCAGTTAACATAATCATTATAGTTTAGGACTCTCATGGAGCTGTGGTTGATTTTTTCTTCATACCATCTACTATTTCTTCGTTTTGAAAGTTATAGGTAATTTTCAATTGCAGGTGTGGCAGATGGAGTGGGAGGATGGAGGGCATATGGCATTGATCCTGGTGAATTTTCCCTACACCTGATGAAAACCTGTGAGCGTCTAGTGAAATTAGGTCGTTTCAATCCCACAAATCCCTCAGATCTTTTAGCAAAGAGTTATTATGAGCTGATGCATCATAAGAAAGCTATATTAGGTAAGTGACAATTGCATTAGTCAAGGTTATTAAGAAAATTGTAATTGAATATTATGTCATATCATATTGATCTTTAGCTTTTTTGTTTAAAATATGAGTCCATTTGATTCATGATACAACATTTTATTTATACAATTTATCCAGAAGTGCTGTTAAAGCTGACCTTCAGGCTCTTACTGCAATAATTTCCCATAATTATTTTGTCTTCAATGATAAGTATTAAGATAATGTTGTGTTCTTCTGGAGACCAGTATACAAGGAGGGGCAATTCCCTGTACAGGTAGATGGCAATGCATGGCATTGAGAGGAAATGCAGGGCAGTGAAAGAAAATACAAGTCACCAGTAATTGTTATCATTTACAACTTGATGTCAAATAGCAGAAAAGGCTGTGAGATGAAAAATAATATTGGTAATTCCATCATAACTTCAAAACTGCAAATAATTTTGATCCAGTCATAATGCATTATTGTTACAGAACCTACTTTATTTTACATTTGTCACATTATTTTAGGCTCAGTTTTGGCTAATTTAGTACTCCATTCGCAAATGTGTTGCTTACAAAGAACTAATTTGAAATACAAATGATGCATTTTGAAATTGTATTTATAATTTTGAAACACATTTGATACTTTTCGAGATTAAATTACCTAATTTGAAATGCAAATGATGCTTTTTGAAATTCAAATGACAATTTTGAAATACAATTGACCATTTTTTAACTAAAATTGGAAAAGGTGTAGTAACAAAATGCGTGGGATGAGGTGTCTACCACTGGTAAGTATGACATGGACAAGACATTACATTGACTTGGCAGACAGCTGCCATCTTCTTCTTCTGTTCCTTTAGCACCTAGTGATGTTCTGGAATCTGAGGTTTGGACATAACATCGACCATGTAATGTCCCTTTACTCTCCTCCCCCCGCCCCCACATAAACATGAACAACCACCATCTGCGCCCGAGTACCTCAGTAAAATATCTTGGTATGAATTCAGACCAAAAACTTAATTTCAATCACCATACTGCACTGATTAATAGAAAACTCAAAGAAAAGCAACAAAAATTTACAAATCAATAGTCAGACCAATGATTGAATATGGACATCCAGTATACATTAACTGCTGCACTTCGGATAATTACAAAAATGATATATCCTATAACCTAATAATAATAGTCTACATAATCTATCAAACGAGCTACTTCAAAGAAGAACCAAGGTGCAACCCAAGGTGCAACCTATACAAGTCAGACTGAAGACCAGAAAATTTTGCCGCCAAACCCCATAACATGAAAGTTATCGAACCCTTGAAGATCCCTAGACTTGATTGACGTAATACTAAAATGCAAATACCTAGAAAGAGCAATACTCTAAATATGTCATGTCCAAATAATGTAATCCTTTTCACATCAATCTTCTTGTACTGTAGAACTTTTAATTATATAATATTGTCTTTTCTGAGAGAAGAAAGAAGAACTGTTTTTTATCACGGTGGGTACATTATTTTGGCTGACATGATTGTTGGACAAAAAATATCCCACAATCAGACACAAACCTCTATGCGTCGGTACCGATGTCGGTACCTTAGATATTAATTATTAGAATACGTCTTCTAGGCCTGGTAAGTCTCTGATTATTTAGATGGTGAAATGAAAATGAAAAATATCTTACCTAACATCAGGTGGGCACTTCGAAGGCGCAAATTCATTACTGCATGGGAGATACCCTTCAGATTGTTCGCTATTCAGTGATTTGACCAAGAATGACATTGACCTTTTAGTATTCTGCACAATTGCACGAATTCAATACTACCTGAATTGGTCCATCTAGAGACAGGGTGCAATAAATATCACAGGAGGAAGCATATTGTTGTAGTGAATTACATTTTAACTTGTAGTTTATTATTTCTATAAAGAATGTTTTCAGTTCTTGAAACTTCATTGCATGTAGTAATTTTTTAATACAAAATTACATTGATTTTCAGTTGTATTAGAATGTAATGATCTTTGATATTTATTTAAGGGCTTCAACGCAAGTGAAGCCGCGGGTAAAAGCGAGTATAATATAAAAAAGTGGTCCCAAAATAGTAGTTAGGGAACTGGCTGCCAAAATTTCTATATGATCAGCACACGTGGCAGATGTTATTAATAGGGATATCTTAGGATAATTATACCATAAAAAACATTGTGGACCGCGTCGGCCACCATGATAGCGCTGCCTTGTCAATTGGCAGCACTTTTTTATCTCTTGGAGCACACGAAAGAAATTCCTATTATGTTCATGGAACATGTTTATTTTTGTATCTACTGTAGAAATGTCACTTTGTGAAATATCTTGTGTTAACAATTCAATGTTCTCTAATGTTTTTTTTAACTTTTGGAGGTTATAAGTTCTTGGGAATTCTTCCATTGGCAAAGAATTCCAAAGCTTCGCCTTTCTGTATACCAACGAGTTTTGGTAGACTGTTGTTCGACATTTTTTGAGGTCAACGACGAAGTGATGTGCTGACTGGACCTGTCGAGTTCGTTTGACTAGTATTGCTAGTGATGGGATTATAGCAGAGATTTCTGAGAAATATTTCCCGTGGAAGTATCTATAGAAAAGTGAACGAACTTTTCTACAGTGTTCTAATGGGTTCAGAGTTGGTGAGTGTGGCATCACCCACCAGGCGAGTGGCTCTTCTCTGGATGGAATCTAAGAGCATCAGCGTATGTTTGGGTGCTGAACTCCATATATGAGAACAGTATTCTAAGACTCGCCGTATCTGTGATTTGTTTATCATGAGGTGCTGTTGTGGTGTAAAGTAGATTTTCGCACGGAACAGGAAACCGAGTTTTTATGAAGCAGCTTTTGTGATAGATTGAACATGAATTTCCCGAATTTCCCATGAGAGAGTACTGCTGATGGTAATAGCGCGCATAGATATAGTGGTCTTGGTAGGAATGGTGGTACCAGACATTGTTATATCAGGCATACTGAGTTCCGCTTTTCTAGAGAATATACAGGCTTGCGTTTTGGTGGCGTTGAATTCAATTAGGTTGTTGGTTCTCCAGGCTGTAATTTCCACAAGATCTTCATTGACTCATTGACCAACTCTGAATTTATCATTTAAAAAAGTGAATATGAAGTGCACAATTGGCAGACAATTGTTTGAATAAAAATAATGAGAAAGATCCCAAAAATGGTCTGCCAGGATGGTGCCTTCGTGTTGTCAATTGACAGCACTCCAAATATGTTGAAAAAGAAGGTATGCTTCATTATACGCACATGCATATCTGCTTCTTAGACTGATGTTTAGTTTTCTCATGAATACCAAGAAAATCGATGAGGCAGACATCCAGGCCTCTGATAGTCCAAAGGCAGACCATTAGAATAAACAGTATGACAAAGATAAGGTTGCTGTGATAATGCAAAGCCCTGGATGTCTGCCTCGTCGATTTTCATCGTTTTCAGGATGATTGTGACCATCAGCTCCAAAGGAAGACATGTGCATATGATGTAGTAGCCTCCCCCCCCCCCATCTTTTAATCAAATTAAGAGCACTGTAACGCAAAAAAGCAGGAGCATAGGACCTTAATTGATTGGACCAAATCGATTCTCATTGATCTTAACTTCAAGCCAAATCGATGTGAAACGTGTGCAAATCATATACCAAAATGACAGAGTGCTCCCTAACTTTCTGATGTTTCACCTATTCTTTGCTTTTGGCTGTTTTCAAATTTCAATTTCCTGCTCTTACCGATGTTGAATGCATTATTGGTTTGTTCTTTTGGCTGTTATAAGTCGATTTAAAGAACAACATATTTGATTACCTGCCTGATTTCCCGATTTTTGACCTAGTTTTTAGTTAAACTTATCTCCAACATGTCTTCTTAGGTAACTTTTTTCGTCAATAGTTCATTATCTATTTGTAATTTCATAATCTTTGCAGGTATTTTTTGTGTCTAAAGATAGCCGTTGAGCCGAAACTAGACTCAAACTTGATTTGTTAATATAATTTATTATGGTCAACCGACTTTGTGTTATACTGAATCTGAGACAAGTTGAAGTTTGGTGTGAAAAAACTGGAACTGTTTCAATTCATTTCATCATTTGCAATTCGTTGTTATTCTTTGGAATTCCTAGGAATCCCGTGGAATTCTTTGAAATTCTTTGGATTTTTTTGATAATTTGAAGCTTCTTTTAAACCTGGTTTCCCCCGGTTTCCCCATTCACCTCATCATTCCGAACTTTTGGAATTCCTTCGAATTCATTGGAATATCTTGAAATCCCCTGGTGTTCCTTGGAATTACTTGGAAGTTCTTGCGCAACGCAAAAATTAAGTGTACAGTGTTTCCAGTCTTAGATGCTTATGCGTGATATCTCAGTTATCTTTCGAGATAGAACCTTGCAGTTTTCGAAACCTGGTTTCCATTCACCTCATCATTCGGAACTTTTGGAATTCCTTCGAATTCATTGGAATATCTTGAAATCCCCTGGTATTCCTTGGAATTACTTGGAAGTTGCGCAACGCAATAGTTAAGTGTACAGTGTGTCCAGTTTTTTATGCTTTTGCGTGATATCCCAGTTATCTTTCGAGATAGAACCTTGCAGTTTTCGCGGTACTGTGCCACTTTCTTGTGAAACTCAAGATGGACTAATCAGATTTTGCATAACTGTTTTCGTTCATGAGGTACAGGGCAATCAACGAAGTTTCTGAGCAAAAATGGCAAATTAAAATCTCATCCCATAGAGAATTTCACGCAGAATCCAGTGGCGCACTCAGCATTTTTTGCCAGTGTATGGTTTTGGAGATACGATTCGAACTTATGATTTTTTAAATGGAACACCCTGTATTTCATCAGATCATTAAATCCCTCATTTTTTTCTCTTCAAAATACACATCACGTGGACATCAATTTGAACAATTCAATGAATAAGTTACTGATTAATATCGAAATTCAATTGTCTCAGTGAATTTATAATCAGGTGCTTATTCTATATTATGTACTCTTCATCACTTTTTATTTGTTGTTATCAGGTACCTAGTTTTTGTGTTTTCTTAGTTAATTAGTGTTGGTTGGGCTGAAAGACTTCGGTCAATGGCCTTTTGGGGTATATCCCTAATACAGATGTTCTCTCTCCCCCCTTAGTGTTGGTATTGGTTTTCATGGAAAAATCAAAAGAAATATTCCTTCAATTGGAACTTCTTCTATATGAAAAATCCATAGTCCACTATTAAAATTCAATGTTTTAGTGATTTAGGAGCATTTTTGAAAATTTTATATTCATATATTATATTTCATTTTGATGGAAAAGAAATAAGGAATTTAAGGAGATTATGAAATACAGGGTGTTCCTTTTGAAAAATCATAAGTTTGAGTCGTATCTCCAAAACCATACCTCGAAAAAAAAATTTAATGCGCCACTGGATTCTGCGTAAAATTCTATGTGGGATACACTACACTGTTTTACCACTAACCAAACCGATTTTTTAACGCCTCGACACGTGTTGCGCTAACTATGTTAGCATCTTCAGGAGAAGATTGAAAGTTTTAATCTTCTCCTGAAGATGCTAACATAGTTAGCGAAACACGTGTCGAGGCGTTAAAAAATCGGTTTGGTTAGTGGTAAAACAGTGTAGTGTATTATCGTGCCAAAGGTTCCAGTCTTCGATATATCTATGTGGGATGAGAATTCAATTTAACATTCTCGCTGAGAAACTTCGTAGATATAGAGTAGGTCCAAAAAGTATAAATTTTCAAAATCGCCCTGTATCTCATAAACGGAAACAGTTATGCAAAATCTGATTAGGCCATCTTGAGTTTCACAAAAAAGTGGCACAGGACTGCGAAAACCGCAAGGTTCTATCTCGAAAGATAACTGAGATATCACGCAAAAGCATCGAAAACTGGACACACTGTACAAAAGTTCGACCGCGACTTACCTATCGATTTATTTATAGTAATTTTTCGCAATCTACAATTATACATATTCATTTAAATTCTTCAGTTATTGATTTATTGAAATATTGGACCATTGCCTAACTTTAATTCTCAATTTGGCTGCTTGCCGAATAATTGTTAGTGACGCAAAAAGCC